TATATATATATATATATATATATATATATATATATATATATATGTACAAGGAAACTATTTACTTACCGTTAAACTGTCTGGATTGACATTTTGTGCTTGTTTTACCCGACATTTGACCTTATCAGCATCATTAACCTGTGGTTCATCAATCAAATATAATAAATGTTTGCCATTTTCAGCAAAACTTGGCCAAATAATATCCAAAGAAGCACCACTGATTGCACTTGGACCCCGATTTATTACCTTAACAAAAATCAAATATATACCAAAACATATTAAGCTTATTTAGTACAAAAATAATAAACAAGACAGCAGTAAAATGCGAAGCATTTGTTTACATGCTATTAAATTTTATATTACTTGAAAAAAAAATTGAGTGGCAATTACAGTATAATGCAAACTATATGAAGAAATTTAATAGTTTAATATTAAATGATTATATCTTTTCATCACTGTCTTATTATCATTATCATCGTCATCATAATAATAAGAAGTGATTAATTATATAATTTGAGGAGTAATTTATGACTTTTAATCATCGAAATCTTAAAGTTATAGCAATAATAACGCAATAAAATGACTGAAATACAAACTCTCACTAAAATTATCAAAGTTCAAACTTGATAACTGTGTAAGTAAAGAAGTAAAATATTTGGCTTGAGTTGCTGCTGAGACGAATCATTCTGGCTCGTGTTGAGCACAGTTTATGCATTAATAGTGGTATTAACCTGGTATAGATGACTGACTACAGGACCAATTTCAGAATCAAAAATAGCATCAGATGGAGTTCTGTTTCGGATAGAATAATCTAACTGCTCGGGAGTTGATCGACCGACTAAAGAAAGTTGTGCTTCTATCTCTACTGGAACTTTCAATGTTAGCTTATTATCAGTGGTATGACCAAAAGCTTCTTCGTTTGAACTGTAAAAAAATTAGTGTGAAAATTTAAACAAATTATTATCACAATAGTAAGAAATTATGAGTTTAATAATTAAAATTTTAACTTTAGAAAAATAATAACAGTATTTTTTTAAGTTTAATGACTTTACTATTTTATTATCGTTAAAAAAGATTGCAGCTATCGAAACAGTACAAATCGCCACTTCTTTTTTTTGAAAGTCTTACAATCGAATACAATAAAATGTTTTCTGGATAGAGTAACGAATCAGATAAACAAGATCTAATTCAAAAACAGATCACACTTACCTATTGACGAACATCTTAATCTCTACATCATTAGAAGCATCAACTTCAGTTCCTGTCAACCGAAATCCGAATTTCGCCTCACTATTTCCTGCTAAAGGATTACCAATATCGCATGCAAAAATGTATTCCTCGTGTTTGCCTGCTTTACCTTGAGGTGAACAGCTGATCGGTTGCTGTGATGTGATTGAAGAATTGCATTAACGCATCATGAATTAAGTTTATAGCACTTGATAGTGTCTACATATAAAAATTTTCAATCACTTAGTAAATTAAGAATAAAAATTTAAAAAATTACTTGAACTGATTTGAATTGCAACTCATGTCACATGATTTAATCTTAATTCTAGGAGCTATATCAATTTATTTAAAACTAAATCTATATTGTAGAGACACGCTCAATATAAATCTGTAAACTAACTTGTGTAGCATGATTTTCCACGCCACCATATTCAAAACCAGGCGGTATAGTAATGTAAAATTGAGATTCATGTGAATCTTCACCATTATTCACAACACTTACGTTCACAATTAATGATTGGTCAGCTGCGCCAAGCGTAAACTTTTTTTTGTTTCTAGAATCCATTACTTTTTCATTTATCAACTTTTTATACTTTTCAGTACTTTGTATTTAACAAATTAAGACAAAATTTTCAGCTTATATAAATGAAATAGTAACTAATATTCTTGTGGTAACAATTAGAACAATGACAACTTTTTGATAACAAAGTAAAAACTTGAGACATTGTTAAATTCTGATTATTAATTCCAATGACGATTAGCATTTACTCATATTTTAAAAATAGTTACTAATTTCTCTAGGCTATTTGACAATTCAAACGCAGCTATTCGATAATTTACAAATTAGTAATATAATGAGTAAATTTAATAAGGATACTAAGTATTATAATACGATAGTATAAAATAAATAATTAAACTGTAATAATTGCTACTTTAAGATTAAGATTACTGAAAAAAGTGTATTACTTACGAGATAGCATGCACTTGTAAGTCTGGGATGCATTTCTCGTCTGGGCCACAATTTTTATCAATCGGAAGCTATAAATTTTTGCAAAACACTTAAGTAAAACTTAATTAATTAATTAGTTAATTAATAAAAAAATCGTAATGGTTTACTTCAACTTCAAAAGCCAAAGGTACAGTAGTGTCTAAGGCTGGTTCTAAGTGTCCGGAAGTTGAAATGCCTGATTTGCGCTCTTCGTAACTGTAATTTGCTATAACATGAATAGCGCTGAGCTTATCACGAATTGTGTCCTGAAAATCGCTAAAAATAATCAAAAAAATTCTATTAGCACTTCTTTACTCTCAACTCTAATAAAAACTTTTAAATTTTTCGACTGAATAAAAAAGTTTAACCTTAGTAATTGTTAAATTTGAATTTGAAAAGATATCAATTTTCAATGTATTTAATTCTGAAAACTTACCGAAACATAAAAATCATAAATATCACAAAATTCATATCCTTTTCGTAAATTCACAGTTTGCTCAATGATATCTGGATGATCACGAGATGACGATTTCCTGTGAACTTTTGTGTTCCGCTTATTGTTCTTAAAGTATAAAATGTTAACGTGTCAATTAAAGTAATTTAAAAGTTAGTTAATGCGAGGTAGAATAAAAAAAGTTGGCTGATGTTACATTGAAAATTACGTGGAAAAATGCTATCATTGCTTATTATTTGAAATTTTTAATCTCATAAAACCAGAAATACTTTCAAATTTTTAAAAATTAGGCGAAAGCTTGTTGGAAACTATTTTGTAAATTAGAGGTAAGTTATGTAATTAATTAATAATATTTTAAAAATATTATAAAAAGTAAGGGTCTGAAGTATGGCAGTAACAAACGATTGATACTACCAAAACTGTTATACTGATAATAATTATTGCAGTATTTATTATGATATCATATAACTGACTAAATCTCGTCGTCTGAAAAACGCTCGAGGTGTAATAGTTTTTTTAGAATCAAGTTGAACGATAAGTTTCAGATCAATGTTTGGGGGAGATTGACCTTTGCCTTCATATTCCATGCACAGCTTTACTTGATTACTAAAATTATTGGATGAATCGTTTTGCAGCAATACTTAAAATTTAATTAATTGTAATTTTGTGAAATTTTTTGTTTACACAGAAGATAGTGATTTATTTCAGACGATAATTCTTTCAAGAATTATTGAATTATGCAAATTTTATACGCGTTGTCAAAAGTAATTTCTAACCATGCCATCATTCCAAATTCTGTTGGACAAGTTTTATCTTCGAGATTTATCGATTTTTTACTTGCAATCAATGATCCTTTCACTGTTACTACTGGTTTTGTTTTAAAGACAACCACATGGGCACTTTGATATGCTCCAACAGCAATATCTATAATTAATTGCAATTATTTTCATTACTTCAGACTTGATTGTTAGAGAAATTAGACGTAAAAGTGCAGCCAATTTTTTATTAATAACAATAATATGCTAAAAAATGCTTCTTACTATTAATTTTGATTTTTAACATACTACCTGGATATTGGTTTTTATCGATATCTTTGCCACCTGCAAGTGAAAATCCAAATGCTTTCAACCCAGAATTTATTTTATGCGCTTCAATTTTTTGTGTTGGTTCCTTACGTACACCATTTTTAGCTCCATGATATACGTATATTGCACCTCCGCCATCCTCACCATCGTAAGGTGCTCCAACAATGAAATCTACAAGTTATTCAACAGATGCATGCAAATTAATTCGAAAACTCTTCACGCAATAACGATAATTACTGTCTTACTGTCCTTAATAATTGATCTGTTTGATTTTCGCTAAGTTTCTAATTTTTGACTTCTAAACTGAATGAATTGCATTACCATTAATTTACGTGTAAAATGTTTAATACAATAATAATATCACTTCGTCAAAAACACTTACTTATCTTAAATAATGCACACAAAATAATAGCATATGATATCAAAACAGAATAATGCAAGCTGAAAACGATTTCCAGCAAATTATAAATTTTTTGCCAATTTAGAAACACACAAACAAATGAAATTGATAGCAGTAAGAAAGCGAATAAACAAAAGCTTTATCAAATAAAAGTATAATAGAAAATAAATAAAAGCAACAAAACAAAACTGAAAATAGACATCACTGCCTAACAAAATATCAAAGTATTCAGTGATTAGTAATAAGTTTGCTTCCATTTTTCTTCCAAATAAATGTTTATAATAAAATAAACTTTTGAAGTTATAAATGATTTTAAATCCTTTGCTACATATTTAATAATGAGCTGATAAATAATTACCATTATAACCGTCTTGATTCAAGTCACCAGCAGCTGCAATGGAATGACCAAAACGTGACCACTCAGTATGTCCCAGTAGAGATTCCCACTTTGGAAAATCATGCTGGAATTATTATTAATCAGAATAAAAATACTCTTTGAATTGAATACACAAAATAATTACTCGCTTATTAGAAATTATTGCAGTTGCTTTTGTTGTTTTCATTTAAGATTATACAGTGGCTATCGTATAATTCACTATAATAGTAATAATAACATTAATAAATGATAATAATAATAATAATAATTATTATTATTATTGTTATTGTATGCTACAATACGACTGTGAGAGTAATTTTGATAGTAACAGTGATAATAGTAATAATAATAGCTTTCAAATAATTACAAAGATATTTATATACAATTTTCGAGCATAAAAACTGCAAAAAAATTTTTCTATAAAATCGTGCGAATCATATTTGAAACTTTTAAAAAGCAGAAAAAACATCTGTAAAGATCTAAAATTTATTGAACAAACTGCAAACACGTAAAAGTTTACTTTTTTGTTGTCAATAAAAAATTCAAACGAGCTCACATCTGGTCCTTGGAAGAAAACCATAACTTTGCCAATATCATAACGTGGCTTGTGTTCTTGAGTTTTTACATCCATTACTGTCTTGTAATCAGTATAAAATGGTGAGCCAACGATAACATCATCATAACTGTAATAAGCTTAAAACTACAACCAAATTAATCATTTACTTCATTGTTATTTGATGTAATTTTGGTTTTCATCTGTTTCTGTCTCAACAACACATTACCGTTCCATAACACAAATACTTAATTTTGATTGTATTTTAAACATTAATTTTTCGCTATAATTAAATAAAAATATGCAAAACAAAATGTGCTAAACATAATTTTAATCTTTAAATTTGAATATATTTTAAATTCAAATATCCAACCCGTCGTCATTTAAATCTGTAACTGCCACAGCTGCACCAAAAAATTGCCCTTTTTGTCCATTTTTATCAGTAAGATTTCGTAGTGAAATTAATTTATTGTTAAAAATATAAACCTAAAAAATATAATTTCTCAAGGGAATAATTTATTTTCAAGTTATTAAGTCAGAAATATTTAAAGTAAATAAAGTGCGCATTTCATATGAAATTTTACTTTATTATGCTAAAATTAAGGTAAATACGCAATAAAAATTTGAATATAATCAAATTCAAATTTAGTTTTTAAATTAAATTCTTCAATATGCAATGTTTTTTGCATTAGATTTATGGAAAACGTGTTTTGTAAAATAATATATTATTTAAAAAGCGATGTTATTATAAATAGTTAAGGGATTATTAACAAAATATATGCGAAAAAACTAACAGCACCAACGAGATTATTCCCACGTGGTACTCCAGCCACTACGTCATCTATTCCGTCGCCGTCAAAATCGCCAGCAGCTACAGAATAACCTAAAATTTGCATTTTTGAAAGCGTAAAATTTGAATACTGCTTGATAGATTTTTTAATTTTTCCATTTAAATATATTTTTTACAAGAAACTTTTGTACAAATACATGAAGTAAAAAAAATTAATTTCAAATAGATTAAACAAACTGACTATCAAGAATTTTAAGCGAACTAAAATCTTACAATTAGAACTAATTTAGAATCTTATTCTAATCACAATGCATTTTTCATTGCAATAATAATTTGATTATATCTATCATACTAATAAGACACGAATTTTGACTGCATATCTCAGACAGAAGTATAACTCTTTCACTTTTTGCAGTAGTACATTTTGCACATCATATATTATTATCTAAAATATTTTGCAAAGAAGTTCTTCAGTAAGTTATTTTTAGAATCGCTTGGATTTTTTCCAATCACTGAATAATTTTAACTTATAGACAAAAACAAATTTAAGCTTTACAAATAATCATTTATAATTACAACTGAAAGATAACATTTTATCATAGTTACAGTATTAATGCTATACGTGCGTGTACTTGCTAACTGATATGCTATATCTCACCGAGATTATTATTGTCGTGATGCGCGGGTCCATCTCGAGTATTTGGTTTATCAAATTTATTCTTAACACTTTGTGCAAAAACTGCTCCTTGCCAGTAATATGCCCCGGGAGCACCGATATACAGTAAGTCCTTGCCATCATTAGCGATAGCTGCACTAAAACCACACATACCATAGCCTAATCTATGATGGCCATGTCGCGCTGCTAAAATTTTAAATAATTCTTTATAAATATTAAAAATTCTTTTTAATATTTAAATTATGCAGGTCACAATTTTTTGTAAAACAGGAAGAGGTAAAAATGAATAAAAAATTTACGTTCTTGACGACAAGAAGCAAATTCTTCTATATTTTCAAATCCACTTGAAGCATAAAAGCAAGTTCCCACTGGTTCAATTACTTCAAATTTTGAAAAAAAATATTTGTAATGAGGTGCACATACCTGCAAATAGTACACTTAATAATAATAATAAATATTCACAAATATTTTAATTACATAAAAAATTTTATTAAAATTAGTAAAAATTGATTTCAAGTTTTTATTAATGTAATTATTATCTGATAAAATTTTTGAACTTAAATGAACTAACCAGTACGGTATCGCCTTTTTTGGACACTCGAATTGTAGCACCTAGCATTTGACCCGACTTCTCTTCTATTTGCAACAAATGTGATCCATTTAGTCGCTTTTCATTACCTATGAAAATATGTGCTTTATTGATTTCCAATAAATCATATCCTATATTCTACTATTTACTTACGGTGAACAACTACAAATATAAAAATATTCCTATCAAATTCACATTTTAAGATTTGCACATTAAACTGTGATTATCATAAATGTAAAACTTAAAAGTTTTTACTTATAAATATTTTATAAATCGTTGGCTATGCTCAGCTTAAGTATATTGTTGAAAAAATAGCAATTTATCATAAATTTAGTTTAGAATTTTAGAAGAAAAATTAGGTGTGAAAAGTAATGTTTGCATAGGTCCTTCTGGCAAAATAAAGTTCATTTCAAGAAGATTATATTTCTTTACCTAGATTAAGACTCAAACTCAGACTTAAAGTCAGACTCAAACTTAAGATATGCTAATTTTGCAGAAAAACTTGAAGTTAATCCTTCTAAAATTTGCTCTTTACTTACTTTCTGCTAAATTTTTTTTGGACTTCAACTTCCGAAGTGGAATTAGTGGCTTACTGTACATTGCTAACTTTTAAGCAAAGTTATCAATGAAAATTTGAGATATTTGACTGATTTTGTCTTTTACACATTAAAACTATAATTATAACAACAAGAAGTATTATTATAATTAGCAGAATTGAATTTTTCGCAAGACTGATTGAAGAAAATTTCAAATTGTGATTGAATTATAATTGAAAAAATTTAAAGTGATTAATACTCATATAGTTTAATCAAATATTAATTAAAGCGATCAGTAATTTGCTGGGAGGGATCAACAAGCTTGAAAAAATTATGTTTTAAAACTGTTTGAAGCAATCTAGTATAGGTTACAGTAATGACATTGAGCAATTTGAAAAATTTTGATTACAAATTTTTTGATTTTTGATCCAAAATAAAACTCTATTCATATGAATAATCTACAGGTCAAAAGTCAAAAGACAAAGTTTAAATGGATGATTGAAAAATTTTAATTTTCAAAAAGTTTACTATTAATAAATAAGAAAATTAACCTTTTCTATCGAGGAAAATCTCCGAGCAGAGTGGTTTGTCAACCGAACAACGAAAAACAGCCCCACTGCTTCTGACCCCTGGCTGCTTAGCACTACTGTTTGCTTTTGGTGACCCAACTAATAAACTGCAATTATTAAATTCAAGTTTTTCAGTAATTTTATAATCTTCTCAATTAATTATTGCGCTTTCAATAAACGGTCAAATTTGTTCATTTTAAATTCTTCTAGTCTTTTATGATACTCATTAATTTTATTTACTTTTTATTTTTTATTGAAAACAAAAAGTAAGTAAAATGGTCTAAATTTTTCGATATGCATACTTTGATTATAAAATTACTGAAAAAAATAATGATAATAATAATTTAAAAAAATTTTTCGATATACAATACTTTGTGAGTTTAACAGTAGATGATTTAATTACACATAGATTGCAATATGATTACTTTTTAATAATAGTAATAATAATAATGATAATAATAATAATAATAATAATAATTTCGCATGTAATTTTCGATGAGTCTCAAAATGATATCAGAAATAATGATAATGTAGTAAAAAGGAATTCATATTAAGTCATTTTTGTACTATATAATATTGTATTTTATGTTTTCACTCTCTCTCTGATAACTGAAGTAATGAACTGTTTTGTACAAAAATTTTATTCATAAGCTAAATAACAAAATTGGATATGACGGAAGATGAGAGTTAATTTAATCAGAGTTAGAAGTAATGCAATTAAGTCATTTTAGCTTTTCCTTTTTTGAAGTTCACTTTTTGTGACAAAGCAATGAATCAGAATGTTCTTCGTTGCATGCATAAATAATAAATAATCTGACAAAAGTGATAATTTGAATAACGACAAATAAAGACAAACTTCGTAACTTTGAGTCTAAAACTGACAAAGTTTTAGTCTTTCCCTCTTAAATTTAAATAAGTTTTATTAAAAAAATAAAAATAATATTAATAGATTGCATTAATTTAGTATAGATATGAATGGTATAAAAAAGCATAAATGACGAGAGAGTTAGTATAAGTGTACATTTTTACTACTTTTATCAGCACAAATCATCCCAACAACAATAACACATATTAATTTGTGGGTCAAATAAACTTCACTTCAGAATTTGTCTGTTCATTTTTCTAATAATATTCTTCTCAATTATTTATCTAATTAATTAATTAATTTTATGGGAATAGAATAACTTGAGGTTTTAAAAAGCGAATATATGCATTAAATTTTGCTTTTATTTGAAGAATTTAGAGGTGCTTAAAACTTGGAAAAATTAACTGACGCTTGCATAACAATAAAAATATCATTTGATTTAAGAATAATTTTCAAAATCTAATTAATAAATATTTTTCAGAATAAAAACTTAAATATGATGATTAATATATGAAGTTGAAGTCTAAAAATTGCAGTCAATAAATTTATAGAAAAAATTAAAATTAAAAAAATATTTATTGCTAATAGCAGCAAATTTAGCAGAAATGATATAGTTTATGCTTTGATTAATATTTGCATAATATAAAATTTGCATAATATAAAATCTTTTACTAAAGTATTTTTGTTTTTGAAAATTTTTAAGCAAATTTCGTGATCAAATTATGATTATTAATTTGATAATAAATACTTACAATGTCATTCCATCGTATTGGTAGAAGTCAATGGAATAACCAAACATGGAATTAGCACTGCTTCGATGTACAACAGTATGTCTGACATCAATATTAAAGCAAATGCTGATTTGAATTAGATCTAACAGTAGCAGAAGATTGAAAAGTATAGTAAGGCATGGCCATAAAGGCCTAAGCTCAAACATTTTTCTTGGCTGCTTTTTTGCTTGGCTTTACCTAAAACTAATCATTTTATGATTAAATATCTGCTTCAAAAACGCCACAATTAACGACGAAAGATCTATTTTAGCATTGCAAGAAATAAATTAAATAACAAATACATAAATATTAATAAATTAAAATACAATAATAAAAATTACGTATGTATTATACTTTTGTTGATTTCACAGCAAAGTATTGGTAACATTTTACTAATAAAAGAAGCAAAAATTAGCATAGAATGATGAAAATTAGTGATATTTTAATTTCTTGCTAATGATAAGCTTTGAAATTAAACAATTTATGCAAACGAAGAAGAACAGAACTAAATAAACACGTACAAATAACGTTTCTATTTATGGTCAGCTAATATAAAAAAGTAGGGGTAATAAAAATTTGACAAATGAAAAGAATAAACTGCGAAAGATTCAAAAAGTTTAGTTTGTTCTATAAGAGTTTTACAAATCGTTATTATTTATCAGTTCAATTTTTACGCATTAGTTAATTCTTTGATTTAGTGATTATTTTTGAAAAAAATTGGGATTAAACTTTCCTCAATAACTTGTAAGTGTAAGTTATAGAAAACTGTTACTAAAGTAGCATAAAAAATAATTGACAGCTTTATTTTGTATCAATCAAAGATGATTTTAATTTTTTGAGTAATAATCTATCGCTAAGATTAGGCTGATTTTTTGTTGCTATTATGCATAAAAAGTATTAATAAAAGAGTAAAAATAACAGCTCAAATTTTCAACTTCAATCTGATTCACTTTTTGAAATAAAAACGAGAATAGCTCTTGAAATAAGTCTCGGAAAAAGTAATCCTTTACAAATATTTATGTACTTCGAACACATTAATTTGAAATTGAGCCGAAATTGTATTAAATTCTCGTGCCAGACAGCTTTGCAACTTATACTGACAACAAAAATGGTAATAATTTACCAAATTGAAAAAAAAAAAAACCTAAATCCGAACTTCAAATATCAAATTTTATGCAAATAATACTAAAACTTACTGAAAATTTTAGTTGAAATCCGATTTTTGAACGTTTATACGAGATTTTATACGTACAGATAAATGCATTATACAAGTAATTAACAATGCAAAGTAAATTATTATCACTAAGCTAATAAATATACCAATTATTTGATAATTAATCATTGTCACTGAAAGTATTCAAATCTTTTTTTCAAAAATTTTCAGTGCAATACAGAGGTAAAAATTTTGTTTACGTAATAAAATACCAAACTTTTTTACGTAAAACTTTAAATGACGTGTTAGCTGCTATAAGCGTGAGAAGATATAAATCAAAGAGGCATTATTAGCTTTGTTAACAAATAATCTCTAACATTACTTAATTTTTAAATATTAATTAAAATTTTAATGAAAGTTTTCAAATATGAAATTAATAGAGCGAAGCGCTCAACTTCTTGCCACTTCTCTTCCTACGTGAATTTATTTTTGGTATGCCAAAAATAAAAAGTGTTTTAAAGAAAGAAAAGACCATAAAAGGAAAATGGATAAAATAGCCTATTTGCCGTGCAAAAGTAATACATATTTCACTTTTTTTCTTTTTTACTTAAAGCCATCGATTTTGCGATAAAATTGCTTTATTTGTACTTTACACGTACTCTAATTTGCAAAAAATTATAACTTTATATGCTTTTTTATTTAAAATTAACTTTATACTTTGATTAAAAGTCTTTTGCAGTAATAATTTGCATATTGATTTTCGATCATAAAAAGTAGTCTAACTTTTGTCGACAGATAAACATGAATACTATTAATTACAATTATTTTAATTAGTTGTCAACTTAAGTAACAGTAAAACTCTTTTATTTTATTCAACAAATTCAATAGAAATAAAAAAACATGCGAAATTGATTTTCGGAGATTTATTTTTTGTATTATTTACACTTTTGCATTTTTAAAATTTGTTTCAATCATTAAAATGAATGGCAAAATAAACTTTTTGAATTTGTTTGTTAAGTAATAAATTTGTTTTTGATTGAATTATTTCTATTTTTTGTGTTGTATATTTTAAAAATATTAATTTTTTGTTAAAATATCAAAACATTTTCAAAAACAAAAAAAGATTTGCAAAGATGACTTTTATTTATAACAAAACAAATTAATTCACCACTTTTATAAAATATTCTTAAATCCTTAGAGACCTATTTTTTAACTTGTTTTTCATGTACATACACGTGTTAAATAAATTAATACAAAGCGAATTATTTATAAATTAAATTATTTTACAAATTTCTAAACTTTTATTTAATTAAAATTTTGCTTAATTAAGTGAAAACTTTTTTGTAATTAGAATAAATATGTAAATTTTTAAATGAATTGTATGGAACTGTAGTGACAACATGTCATGAATAGTCTGATTAATTTAATTAATTAAACTAAAACAGAAGTAAATCCAATTGGAAAACGTTAATAATTTTTACTGGTGAAGAAATTTACAGAAATACAAAATAAGAGTACAAAATTTAGTGATAGATTAGATTTAAAGTAAGCGAAGGTGCAACTAAAGAATAGCACAGCACACTTTCAGAGCTGACTGTACAAATATAAAAATTTACAAAACAAAAAATATTCAATGTATTGTCGATTTTACAAAAGAACTGTGATTGAAAGATTAGTTAGAAAAATATAAAATGATTATTTTTGATATCAGCAAAAATAGAAATTTTCCCTAAAAATAGATACAAAATTGTACAATGTTGAATTTTATCAATTTAAATGAATTTTTGATTGAATTAAATTTATTGTAATCTTTTAGTTATAAAGTTAGCTATAAATTTTATTTGGCGAGCAAATCGCAATACTACCTAAAATTGATCACAAATGCAATTTAAATTTAAAGTGAAAATATTAACGGATAGATATGAGTTTTGTTTATGATTACAAAGCACACAGTCAAAGTAATGATTGTAATAATGTTTGAAAATTAACTATTATTATGTATTTACAAGTATTTGCTTTCGGATAGGTAAAACATACCAATGAATATATGAAATATACTGTATAAGATTTTTAGGGATTATTAGTTGACGTTCAAAATAATTTGTGAACGTCAATTTTACGTATTACTTTTCTGAAATAATTTATTAATATTTAATTGTGAATAATTAAAAGCTAGAAACGCATGATTAGTCATCCTTCTGCTTCTCACACAATCAGTAAAGAATGTTAAATGTTAAAGTTAACGTTTACTTTGTTAAGGAGCTTAAATATTAGTATGAAGCAATTAATGAAGTAAAAATTATACTTTAAGCTTTTTTAAAAACTTTATTTGATAATTTAGTTGATAAAATTACGCTTGTTGTTCAGTATGAGTTTGCGTATTTTATTGTAAGCAAACATGTGAATTATAAATGAATTACGAAGAGTTAATGGCTTATTTTTAAGTTATTAATTAAAAATTGTTAAAATTTCTTGTAATTTCTATGTGGCAAAAAAATATCAAAACTGTATAAATCCATGCAAAATTATATTACTGTATTCTAATATCCAACCTCAAGCATAATTTTGATTGAATGTTTGTGAACAAATTACACGGTATGAAATTTTGTAAAGTGTGAATAAAGTTTTGGAGCATAAGCAGTTCTTTTTAGAATTTACCAAAAGTAATCGGATTCATTTGAAAATAATTATCGATTTGTTTCAAATTAACCGCAGAAAATAATCAATTTGAATTGGTTACCAAAAATAATTAGTTCATTTTCAAGTTTATTACTAAGAGTACATCAATTTTGAACTCAGCACTAAAAATAACAGATCAGGTTTGTACTAATGTCAAGAGTGAATAGATCATTTCTCAGCTGATCATCGAGAGTGATCAATCCATTTTATATCGATTACGGAGATAAATCATGCAAGTATGCCATAATCCTTCAAGCATACATTCTTAAAAAACGCATTTAAGCATCTCAAAAAAAAGGAATCAGATGGGACTATTTATAAAATGCGCAAGCAAATAAATATGATCTATAATTTTAAAAAAATATGCGCTAAAAAAGCTCAACAAAATTTGCATACTGGCAGAATATGACTTTTTTTTCTTACTGTGACAATAAAAGTATTCAAACAAAAATGCAAGAAATAAACAAACAAACAAGTGAATAAATAAATAAATGAATAATGAATAAACTAATTAAATAATTAATTAAGTAAGAAAGAATATAAGAAATGAAAAAAGAAGACAAGTCCTCTCAGTTTGAAAAAAGTTAGACTGAATTAAGCTAAGATGGAAATGAGAGAAGGTAAAACAGTTGCTTCAGCATTCCTCGTAAATAGCTACTACTTTGCTTTACAAACTAAATAATAAAATTAATATAAATAATTTCAAATGACTGAAAATAATTGTAAATTAATTGTAATAAATGCAAAATAATTTTAAAAACTGAACTAAAGTACAGTAATTGAGTGAGTTTAAATTTAAATTAATATGTAAGTGAAATACGTGGATAAATCTAGCTCAAATGCAAGCTGATTAATAGATCAAAAGTATGAGAGAATCAGAAATGAACTAAAATGAGTAAAATTGAACTGGATTAAAACAAAATGAAGTTGCAATGAATTGAATAGCGAAAATAAGAAATGAATGAATAAAATGAATGAATGAATGAATGAATGAATGTATGTGAGGAGTGAAGGAGGAAGGAAGGAAGGAAGGAAGGATTGATGCTGAAGACGAAAATACTCGCCAAGAGGTTAGCCGAGCAGCTGTTCAGCTTAACATCCGCAACACATTTCAGTTCAGATTAGTTCAATAGCTCAAACTATCATCATTCATCGATCTATCTACCCATTCATTTATTTATTATTCTAAAATAACGATTTAATATTAATATTAATATTAATTACAGTGTAATGACCTGCTTGTTTTCGTATTAACTTGCAAGTATTCATTAACGGAACTCATTACTATGTATTTGAATAAAAGACAAAATTAATCTTATTGTAATTTATTCTCAA